ACAAAGAGCTTCTATCCACTTAAGTTTATAGGAGTTTTAATATATACGTATGTATGTGCTACACATTAATGCTATCTTTGAGATTTGTGCCTTCATTTGTATCACATGCTAGCACAAATCTCAATGCAAAATCAATGGACAAAAATGTTTGTGGACAAAGAGCTTCTATCCACTTAAGTTCATAGGAGCTTTAATATATATGTATGTATGTATGTATGTATGTACCTATACATATATTTTTGTGTGTGTGTCTATATATATATACAAATGTGTGTGTATATATGTATATTTTGTTTGTGTGTGTGTGCATGTGTCACGACCCCAATTTCCGAACCTCAAAGGAATATTAGAGCCGGACTAAACCTGTGAAAAGTCCTCCAAAATATACATTCATTAAAAGAGCACTAAAACAAATCTCTTTATTGAACTAAAACCAACAGCAAATATTCTCTATAATCCCAAAAGTCAACTAAGCCAATTAACTTGATAAAAATAAATATTCCTCAACTCCAAATAAATCTCAACCTAAAGAAAGAATCTCATTATTACAAACTCTCAATTCATCATCTAAACATTAAAGACTTTATTTAACCTTCGCCTAGAAGACAATAACAATCTCGAATTATTCTTTGCTTCGTTCTAAGAATTTGACAATCCTCAATTCCACCTAATCCCGAGTCTCTGAAAAGAATAGAAATAACACAATGAGTTCACAACTCAATAAGTGGATAAATTCATACATTAAACACTGGTTTTGCAAAACTAAAAAATTACAACGAGAAATAAACAAAATATAAGAATGATATAGAATCATTAATGAACTCTAGTATTTGATACAAATATTTAAGAAAAATTAGAAATCATGGAATAGAAATAAGCATGCTACGTCTCAATGCGGTCAACACTTCATACTCCGGTTGACTCGGTAAACCCCACAATTATTAAGCCCGTGGTTCCGGGACGGTGAGACCCAATTTGGGCTCTTAGCGCTAAAATAAAACCTCATAGAGGCACATTGAGTCCTGTTTTAATAGCTTGCTTATATCCGACATATACCGGTATATTGACTTGAGATGCATATGCTTTAACAATAAACAAAGTTCGTAAAGCTAATCACATTATACAAATATGCCAAAGGCCAACCAATAGTGAAATAAATCAAACACATATGCATCTCAACCTACCACTATATGAATAGACATAACAATTGATAAAGAAAATAAGCATAGGCTTATACCAAAATATCCATGAGCATCACAAAATCAACCAATCAACAATTGATATACCAGTAATCATACGAAGGATATAATCCGTCAGGAACAAATCCAAGTATACTTGATATAATTATATAAAAAATACACAGCTCACAATGCATAAATTCACCACTTACCTCAAGTCCGAAAATAATCCAACTACCCCTCACAACACCTCCTCGAAGCCACTCGAAACACCTAAAGAATAAGTATAAACAATAATCAATACTATTATATGCCCTTAACTCATAGCCTACCAAATTATAACTATACCCTTTATCTTCTTTACTCTTCTATCTAAACAATTACACATCAAAATGCCTTCAACCAAGGAATTTAAATGCATGATTAATATTTATTTTATAATACCGGTTAAAGAAGTGTGTCAGCATCATTTATAATAAATCTAACAATTGAGGTTGAGGAAGTGAGGTCAAAGATTTAGGTCTCAAGTTGGTGCTTTGTATACATACCCAAATTATTGTTATTATTATTTTAAAAGGAACCCAAGGTAACGTGATAAAAAGTTAAGTGGCCTTGTATAAAAAAAATAATAAGGTAAGCATATAGAGACGAAAACAAGAGGCAAGAACCAAAGCTTGGTTCCACCATGGCCATGGCCTAAAAAAATTTAGATGTGCCCATAAGTTTCTAAGTGAGGAAGAAAAATACCTAGAAAATGTTCTTGATCCCAACTCGAAAGACAAAAGACCCTTCTTTTTTTTTCGGCAAGATAAAGATGGGAGGAAGAGAAGCCTTTTTTTTTTTTGGGAACGGCGGAAACAGAAGACGGGAAGAAGGGATGCGGCTGACGGAAATCAGAAGTTGGGTAGGGTTTTTGGGGTATTTATAAAAGGTTGTTTTTGCTAATAAAACCCTCTATCAAATTTTACATAAAAGCCCCTATACTTTTTCCTTATATATATCTATCTAAAAGTTAGGATTATTACATACTACCCCTCTTAACAGAAGTTTTGTCCTCAAAACTTGAACACACTTGAGTTGTCCATAGATCATGTAATTATTTTCTCTAAACTCCTTAATCCGACTATGATGGTACTATGTACAAATGTTATCATCAACATATACTCAAATCTCATCCAATAATTTCATGAGCATATTAGCTAATAATGGCCAGCTCCAAAAATTTAAAGCATAATTATTGTCAATTGACAAATTTGGGATATTATATATTATACCCCTCAAAAGAAGTTTTGTCCACAAAACTTAGATGCACCACAAGTCTTCAAATAGATCACGGTATTTCTCTTTCATCACATTCTCATGCAACCTATTGCTTCTTCTTCTGAATGACTTTTTTTTTAACACAAAAAGAATTTATTTGAAAAATATTTATTGATCACCAATGTTTAATACTTTTGATCCAACGTTGCAGATAGCTACTTTTGACTATATAAAAATCTTTCCTGTCATGAGAGCTTCATGGATTATCACATGAGATATATATAGGAAACTAGTGTCAAGCCATGAGGTGATCCAATTCTACTTGATACGTCGACAATCCTCTCCAAAATCTAGAATGTAACCTCACACTTTAAAGTCTCTACTAAGATGAAATCTCATGATGTCCTTTAACATGTAACATGTCATGCTTCTCAAGTGAATGAGTAGTGCTAAAAGGCAAGAAATAAGTCAACTTAGTAAGTTAATCAACAATACTGTGATAATATCATG